TTTTGACTTCCCCTCTATTACTCTTTCTTGGTAAGACACTCTCTGGAAAGGGCCTGGCATGAAAAGATAGCATATCTTACCAAAGCAGGAAAGATATAAGCTTACACCTGTAAGCAGGTGTGGCTGGGGTACCACACATGAAAACATTTCTGAGCCCTGTCTTGCCTCCTTCTTCTGTAAAATTGGTGAGTGGCTGCAGGGTCAGAATGTTTCATGTCATACTGGCTGTGGTGGGATAAACAATCTTTGGTCTGATGAAAGCTTCTCACTAGTGCAGCCATGCAAGACTGTCTAAAGTTTCTGTCATTTTTATGGAACTAAAGTTCCTGTGGTTTTTATAAAAGTCAGTGATTTGAGTTTAAATTTCAACTAGATGTATTAATGTATATGCAAATACTGGCATTTTCTATGATCAGACAAAAATAAGAGGAAATTAGCTAAAAGTGTCGTGTGTCCTAAACACACATGCTGTGTGATTGTAAAGCCTAAATTTTGATCAGCTGAGATTTTTTCCCTAAATAGGTAGCATGAAGATGCAATTAGTCAGATTTTGTGAGAAAAAGTAAACTTAGCATGTGGAATACAAATATTCTGAAATGGGAAAGATGACTAGCAGATCTTGCTAAATTATCAGTAATAAAATAAGAGAGAGAAACTGAGAAATAGTAAAAATCAAGATCAGCCAGATGCATATAAATTCTAAGACCAAACTTAAAGAACGGTATTGGGCATCACAAAATCATATTTTATTTTTGAAGAAATGTAGTCCCTGGAATTTTTTGAGTACTGATCTTGAATCTGCTGCAGACATTTTGTTCTACAGCTTGAGCAAACAAGCTATTTTTAATAGCTTTTATTTTGTTTTGCTGTTGAAGAAAAGATACTGGTTTTCTTTATGAAAGTTTGTTCACCACGGAATAAAGGATTGCATTTTTCCATGGTTTTGTGAGACAAACTGGGTCAGTTTGGGATTATACTTGTGCCATACTTGTGCTAATGGGGATGGAATTGCCCAGGCACAGAAGTGGTAGGAAGCAGAGGTAGTCCTGTTTTGACTGTGACTCAGACAGCTCTTGGAGCCTCACCCATACCTGCTTTGTCACCTCAGCATTTTACTGTTGGGACACTCTCCATCTTGAAAAGCTGTTAAGCTACTAGAAGCACTGACAGTGTTGCTGTTTGTATTCATCATTGAAAGACTGCATCATGTGCAGATAAATCAGAAAACCTATCTGCTGGGTATTTTATGGTGAGATTTTCTGGAAGACAGTGGATCTGGCCATTTACACCCAAAAAGAACTTGGCCAAATGTGGTGCCCTTCTCCAACTTCTTGTGCATCTCCAGACTACTTGCTGGTGGAGTAGTATGAGGAGAAGAAAAGGCCTTGATGCTAAGTGCTACTCAGCAGTAACTAAAATATCTGTGTATTACCAAAACTTCTTCCAGGAAACATTCAAAACATTGTCCCCATACCAGCCACCGTGAAGAAATCAAGCTTATCCCAGCCCAGACTACAACATTCTCCACCAGTTATTCCGTATCATTTATGTCATGTTAAGGTCCGACTTTATCAAGTACCTGCTTCCCCTTAAAATGTTTGTGAAATGTCCATAATTATCCACAAAATGCTCACTGTGTTTATTTCGTGTAAGACTTTGTTCTCTATATGTTATGGTGGTCACTCAGGATGGGAAAAGTAGTGTGTTACAAGGAGTCATTTAGCACCGAAGGCCGCTCTGGTCAGGTCACTGCTGCACTCACACTGTGTGCAGAAAATCACACTGTTGAAAGCCAGTGTCCACAAAGGAGACAGAGGAATCCTAAATCTTTATTTGCATAAAAGGAAAGAGTCCACTGGGATATACCCCCCAGTTTCAGGTTTTTCTCTGCAGGTTGTAGAGGACGCAGCCTCCTTTTATCCTAAACTCCCAGCCACATGCTGCCTTCTTCCTATCCCCATTGGCTGAGAAATTAGGAAAGTACAGGCTTCCTGAACTGCTTACCACATATTCCCCCGCTTGAACCTGTCACTTCCCTTCAAAAGTCAGTTCAGGTCCTGCAGTACGCTTGGTCTGGACCCATTTGTCTGTTACTCTAAAATTCAAGAGTCAGTCTGTTTGGGTTATGTAACAAACCTGCCCTTGAGGTTGGTAGAGACATTGAGACCCATTTCAAAGACATAAACACCCATATCCTCAGCCATCAAATTGTTTGTAGACACATTAGCACACATCTTTTCCTGTTAACTGCTTCTTGAATGAAGCAAATGTTCATCCTTTATTGATTCAGGTAGTTTCTGCTGTAGGGCTTTCTGTGACACCCACCTCAAATCATGTTTTACAACAATTTAAAAGTACATCCATTGCATTCTCTAGCCCTGGTCCCTTTGGATTAGGCTGTAAATTTTAATACGACAATGAATTCCTGCTCTTGTCTTTAGCTTTACTAGCAGCAAGAGGTTTCTGCTGTAATACCTTAAATAGGTGGCAGCCATAGCAGTGGTGATATACAGTGTTGAGTAACACTGCCATCGTACAACTCAAATAGTGAATTATTTTCATTCAAGATTAACCTTGAGGTACTTGTACACTTCCCATCTTTCTGCTTTTACCAAGTCCAACCAGGTCCCTGAGCAAAAACCATCCCATGAATAGGTTTACTCTTTCCAGAAGAAGAAATAACTGTTTCTCTTAGTCAGTTTCTCCTATGTACTGTTTGGATCTTTTCTTCTTACACAGTGCACAGAGACCTTGATTCGGCAGGGCCAGGTCAAGTGGCAGATGCTCTAATGTGCCAAGTGAAGCCAAGTGGCTTCTGCTAAATGTATTTCACAATGGTTTAATGTATGTCCTGGTTACAGGAGAAGAATGCCAGTTCAGCGCTATGTGGGTGTTACCAAACTGAGTATTCTACTGCCCTCTACACTATTTCTGACAAACTGTTAGTGATAAGTTGTTTGCAGTAGGTGCCCAGTGCACAGCTGACACCTCAGGCTACAAGCTGGGTGTTAAATGAGATAAGGGGGAAGAGCCAAACCCTGTGAGGAGGGGAGTGTTTCTTTTTCTTCACTAAAGACTCTGCAGTGCTAACTCTTTCTGGGGGAGCAACAGCACAGTCCCACCGATCCTGAGGGGGTCATCTCTGCCCATGGGCTATAATGGACTCAATGGCACTAGCAGAATGTTCCATTGTGAAACTGCCAGCCCTGGGGGAGGTACTGAGCATTCCCTGAACCTGACTGTGTATAATCTTGATGTCTGGGGACTTGGGACCCCATCACCCCTGGATAGGTCCAGAGGAGGACCATCACTTTTGACTGCAACTATCACTTCAACAGGACTGCAGTCACCGTTTGATAGGACTGCGACCACCACCTTGGCCAACGGGCTGCCAGCTTGTAGTCTGACTTTATGGGTCTAAGCCAGTTTTAATGTGTATTATTGCACTATTGTAATCTTTCAATTAAATTGTAACTCTGACCTGAAATCTCTCTTAAGCTAATTGGCTGCACTTCATTTCTCCCACCAGTTTACTTTCAAACCAGCCCAAAGTCCCAGCACCTATTACTCTCAGTGTAGTTTTTAACAGCCATTCAGCTTTCCTGGAGGCTGGTGCATAACAGGGAATGTGACCACCTGGTTGATGTCATGCTCCTTGGCTAGGCTACAAGTTTGCTTCAGGAATGAGTCCTGTTGTCTGATTTAATTCTTTCAGTCACCACCAAACTTGCTTTTTAAGGCCTAAAACAATAATCCAGGCAGTGGCATGGGTCACAGGGTATGTTTCTAACCATTCAGTAGTCACTTCCATCACTGTAAGCAGATAGTGCTTGGCAAGTTCATGGTAGTCTGATAGTCTGCCAGGCTTCCCTGTATTGATATTTCAGCCGTCATGTTCAATACCAAAAAGTCTTTAGCTCTTGTCCTATTTAATTATGGTGCACACTTTGCATTCATGGATAACCTGTGCAATGGCATCAGTGATAAAGTCCGTGCCTTGGTCATGGGCCCATTTGTGTGTTTCTTCTCTTTCTACATGTTCTGATATATCATATCAGATATATGTGACAGTTCATCCTTATATTTCCAGTCCAGATCCATCTGAGTCACTTCTATTTTAGCAGCCTGGTACAGCTGCTCATTGTTTTGATGTTCTTCAGTGGCAGACTCGTTGCTACATGAACACTTACGCAATGTACTTTTACAATCAGGTTCACCACATGAGCATCAATATCTCACTGCAATTCAGCAGTCCAGATGGGTTTACTTCTGCTCTGCCACCTGCTCTGCTTTCATTGCCACCCCTGGAGCATTTGCCACAATCCATTAGTCAGTGCAGAGATAAAGTACTGGTAATTTTTCTCTTTCAGCAGTGTCTAAAGCCAGCTGGAGTGCTTTCTCTTCTGCAGACTGACTCAGTTTACCTTTTCCATCAGCAGTTTCTGCAACTTAGTATATAGCACAGCAGCTTTCCACCTTTAATACTTTTCTTTCTGTAAACAAGGCATATTAGTTTATTTTCTGGTAACTCATTATACAGTGGGGTCTCTTAAGCATGAGTCACCTCCTCTAGTGACACTCCAAAATTTCAGCCCTCTGTCTGCTCTATGATCGCTTCCAGGATTCCTGGGTGGTTAAGGCTTTCCATGTGAACTCATTGGGTTATCAGTGTGACCCACTTAGTCATGTCACATCAGTGTCATGATGTGTTGAAAAGGAGTCTCCTTTTGAGCATTCAGAACAGCATGGGCAAAATGGCACCAGAAGGTACTGCGCTTCATTATTAGTGTGGCTCAAATTGCTTTATAGACTCCTAGAATTTCTTTTTCAGCTGGAGTGCAATGGCCTTCAAATCTTCTATATCTCTGGCTTCAAAACCCTGGGGGTCACCTATGAGTTTCTCTGAGAGCTTTCTGCCAGAGCTTCCATGTAGGGTCATTAACCATGGCTGAGGTATAAAGCATATTTTTAACATCTTGTCCTTTTGAGACAGGCCCAAGTGCTAATGCATGAGCTGTCTCCTACTGGATTTGCTCAAAGGCTTACTGCTGCTCAGGGCCCCATTCAAAGTTGTTTTTCTTATGAGTCAGATGATAGAGAGGGCTTGTAATCAGACTGTAACCCAGAATATGCAGAATATCCAGAAATTCACAACATCCAAGAGCTTTTTTGCTAGTTGGTTTGTTAATTTAGTTAGTTAGTGTTAGTTTCTTTTTTTTGGTTATGTTATTGATCACATCCATTGAGACATAATGATGCCTATCTTGCCATTTTATTCCTGCAAGCTTGAAGCAGTGAGCTTCAATGGGTTCCTCTGAGAGTGACCTGCACCTTCAGGGCCTGGAGCATGCTTGCTAAAATCTGGCTGACAAAACAGGCGAAGGACAGGTCTTTATATGAAAATCCAAGGGAAAGTTTATTAGGTCTTGAAGGGAATTCAGGGACAAAGACAAAAGTGGGTTGAGGGCACAGGGTTAAAGATGGGATGAAAGGGGAGGGTCTTAGGGTCAAGGTCCAATAGGGAGGGGAAAGTGGTGCAGAGGTGGGGCAACCAACCAGGGGAACCAGTGGAGTAACAGGGGTGGAGCATTGTGGCAAAGCACAGCCAATAGGGATCAAGGAAAGGAAGAATATTATGGAAAAGGTACATATAGGGTGAATAGGGGCTGAACGGGGGTGGAACAAGTGTTCAATCAGGGGTATATAACAGGGGTTACTATTCAGGGTATTAACATGTGCTTTCAAAGGCCTTTGGGAGGGAGGTGCTTCTCATCCTGACCTTAGAGGGATGTTTCTCCTTGCTTTTTCCTGCCCTCACTGGTTGAAGTGTTACAATCCTAGTTGCAGGCCCCTGGACTTCCACACAAACTGGATTTCCTGTGCAAGTACTTTGGCCTCACTTTGTTTCATAGCAAAACCGGCTTTCAAGAGAATTGGCAATAATGTTCTCCCCTTCTCATATATTTCCTTGTCTGTGTTAGCCCCACTATGATCTTGTTAACATATTGCAAGTCTTCAGGAGCC